TATGAGTCTCCTGGGACACTGGCTATACTGTGTATGTCTGTGTCTGTGTGTGTGTACATGCTCCTGTGTATGAGTCTCCTGGGACACTGGCTATAATGTGTGTCTGTGTGTGTGTACATGCTCCTGTATATGAGTCTCCTGGAACACTGGCTATACTATGTCTGTGTGTGCATGCGTGTGTGTCTTTGTGCACTTCTATATGATGAGTCTACTTGGACACTGGCTGTACATACATATACATTTACCTGTGTATGTGCACAGATATTAAGTAAAATGACAAAGGGAGGTCATAGCTCTTGGTGTCACCTTTGTATGTGCTCTAGTTTCATAGTCCACATCAGTGGGACAAAAGAGCCATGCAAGCTTGGAGCACATTTTAGCAAGCTCTCTACATTGCCCTCAGCCCTGCCCACAGTGACTACTAGCAGGATCTTTACCTCTGACCTGAGGTGGAGCCCAACAGAAGATGGCAGTCAAAGGCCTATGTGCAGACACAGCTGCAAGTCACCCACTCTGGATTCTGTGGGTCTTCTGGGTGAGGATTCACGTCCACAAAATCCAGAGAATCAAATTAGAAGTCTCCATAAAAACCATACTCCATTCCCTGGAGCAAATGTACTGTTTCTGGTTAAGATACACAGACATTAAAATGTATATGTTTATTTTGGTCACACTGTGAATATGAAAACAATGGATTAACTGTTGTTTTTGCTGTTTCTTACTGGTTACATTACAGTGATGTAGGGTTGAAATCTGTTCCTTCAACTTTCAGAAAAGGCACACATATTGTATCTTAAAAAAAAAAATAGAGATGGGGTAGCTCAGCAGAATAGTCATTGCCTGGAATGCAGAAAAACTTGGGTTCCATCCAATCACTCAGTTTTTCTCAAAGACATGAAATTAAATAAATAAATAAATAAATAAATAAATACTTAAAATCAGATAGACACATTTTCATATATGTAGATACCTATTCATATGTACAGTGCATGATTTGCTGGTGTCGATGTTTTAAATTCACCATGTTGATTTTACTGAAGTTCATATGATTTATGAGTATAAAATATGAATTTAATGTCTACTCATGGGTGATAGAGCTAAACCTAACATTTTACATAGAAAGGATTTTTCACTGACCTTTATGAAATCCAAGTTACATACTTTTGAGCTGGGCATGGTATTTCACACCTGCAACCCCAACACGTGAGAGGTAAGGCAGGAGAATCAGGAATTCAAGGTTGTCCTCAGCTATATAGCTCAGGTCAGCCTGAGCTACATCCCATGGAACCTTGACTCAAAAGAAAAGAAATTCATACTTTTACCAGACAAGAATCATGGAACATGGTTATCGCTTTCACACTTAACACAAGCATTGGTTAAGGAAGATAGTAAGAGGCACTGAAGGAGGTCTCAGCTGCCCTTCCTTTGCCATCCTTCTGCCAACTAATGATGACCTGATCCTGGCACTCTTTCCAGATCTCACTGTCAAGCAGACTGTGAGCTTGCCATCCACACAGTGAACCTGCCGAGAAGCACCTGCTAAGTATCCAGTCTTCCTCTCTGGACCAGCAGTTCTAATTTTTCCTATCAGGCTATTGAACCACACTGTAACTAGACCTTGTTCATTTGCAAAGTATTAAGTAAGCTACATTGGGAAATTGACAAAACATCCAGTGCGCTCCACAAAGACATTCTCCGTACAGTTCCATCTGGGCTTCATTGGGATGGTTCATCTCTGCTCCACTGGGCATCAGCTGCTACTCTCAAGGCAGGGCTGTGGCCACAGAAGCCTCCCCAGCCAGGGCTGTTGGCCCAACTTCCTTACAGGCACTGACTGGGCTGGCCACCTTTCCTAAGTAAGCTTAAGACATCCCTTTCACCGCACTATGTCCCAGACCTTATTTTGAAAACATAAGCAGTATGTCTGAGCAGACCTGGGATCAAACTATGGGCACGGGTAGAATGACCTTAGGACCCAAAGCTATGTTAGCTGCATTCTCTGCTCTCTCCACCTCTCCATCTCCTTGGCCATAGATGGCCTGAGTTCGTTGTCAGCTGCCTTGTCCAAAGGACAGGCTGTGGTGCCCGTCACATTCCTCTACACTGGCCATCACCTTCTGCAGTCTCCTCCTTAAGTTTGCACTTTTATTTTTAGCCCTTCCCTCACTGAAAATACTCTGCAGTTAGATCCATAAAAGCCTAGCCAGGGCACAGCCTCACCCGGGACAGACCCTGCTGCCCAGTACCTGTGTCTCTGTCTGGAGATGAAATCTTCCCAAGACGAACTATGTGGATAAAAACTGCAGTCACATTACCATAGCACAAAAAGAAATGTTTACCCCGATGTAACTCAAGAAGAAATGGAATCCAATTGAAGAGGGAAGTTTGGGGCAAGCACCAGGAAATCCTTTGGCCAGAAGTGTTGCTAGATTGAGGAAGTGTCCCCAAAGGAAGTGGGAGACATATGAAAGCCAAAAGCCCAGCCCCCGTGGAAGAAGGGCACTTCCTCTGTACATTGTCTTCCAAATCCTGTCCTAGGCCAGTTTATCCTGGCAGCCACTAAAAACAGCAAGACTCGATTGTCATAATAAAGTAGTTCATTTTGCTATAATAAAGGGGATTTTTATAATCCACACCCACCCACCCACTCCCCAAAAGCCTTCTCTATTGGAAGGAAGGTTGCAACTTATGAAAGGAAGGGCCTTTGTTCTGGCTGTGACATTATTGTTGGGAACAGAATGTCTAGGAATTTAGCACTGTTTGCTTTAACCAGAATGCTTCTATCCCTGCAGAGTTATGAAGTGGAGAGCGTCCTTGGGAAGGAGATGGGGCCTTTACTCTGCTTTGTCCAGTCCATCAGTCCACAGCAGAGCAGCTGCGTCACTCTGGAAGAGATTGAACTTCTGAGTACAGCTGGAGCCACTGCTGCTCTGTCTCCTCCCTGACATCTGTGCACTTGGCAGTGAGGCCAGGGGCTTGATCTGGGGAATTGTGTTAACTCTATAGTGTTTTTATGGTTTTAAATTTAGTGGGTTTCTTTTCTTTCTTCTTTTATTTTTCTGGTAAAGAGGTTGATAGGATAGTTTTGTACATTAAAAATCAAAATATCTCTATTAAATCTTTTTTTTTTACCTTACCTTTCTACAGCTTTGAGGACATGTTTCTTTGAGTGTTTCTCATGTCTTCCGTGTCTTCATTTTGCACTACTTAGGCACTATTATTGATTCATTAGGAAATGTGCATCGTTGTAGCTTTAAAGTATTTACCATTTACCAATATTGTATTTGTTTTTTCTTTGCAGTATTTAATATTCTCTGTACAGCTTCAACCAATATCTCATATTGAAATATTACTGTTCTGTTACAATAAATAAATGTCCAACCTAAACACTTTGTGGTCTTAGTGTTCTGGGAACTGCCAGAGATGGATGGCACTGTCACCCATACAATCTCGGTGAGTTGGGTGTGATGAGAGCTGTATAAATCAGAAATTTCTGTACCTTACTCTACCACACACCTACCAGAGACCTACTACAGAGGGCAAAGATCAGACTCACAGCAATCCACAAGCCGGTGCTTTGGACAGGGATTTGAATTACAAACAAAGCTATATATTTGGACCCTAGAGATTTTGTATTTTCTTCTGTACAGCAACAAGCCATGCAGACCAGAACAACCAGTATTCTTAGGAGAAAGGCACATAGCCTTGGGGGATGGGGGAATTAAGCCCACAAGTATTACAATTACTGGAGTTTGGGACTGCTCTCTATATACTACGATATTAATTTGTCCTGGTGCACATTTTGAAATCTGCACGTTGTCCCTAGATTGAGGAAAGTAAAAGCAGAGAGGAATCAAGTTTCAGACTCTCAGCTCTCTTCCACCCTCTCACCCTCTCACCTCGCAACCACCTAAAAGTTAGGCCAGCTGTACTCTGCCTCAGGTCAGCATACTCTGGGATCACACCTTCCACCTAACATGGAGTAGTTATGCTTTCCCATGTTCCTTCCGCAGGTAATCTAGAACATGAGGAAACTCATCCATCTCCTTACCCCTTGTGGGCAACACACCTGGTCCTGTGGCTCCCAGGTGCTTGCTTTTCTCTGGTGAGGTCCCAATATATTGTGTGCAGGAAAGACTGAATATAGGAAGCTGCAGCGATTTAAATGCTTCTTTATTCTTAAAAATACTGTAAAAATGAATATAAAGAGCATGCGCAGATAAGCTCTTCCTCTTATCTACAAGTCTGTCGGAAAAGTCTTTTCTACAAATGTACCTTAGCTGCAATGGTAATAAGATGTAGAAAACGCTACCATTATAAAAAAATAATTTAAGGGAAAAGATTCATATAGCTTCTCTCGCAGTCCAGTGCCCAAGCTGCAGCTTCCAGTCGCTCGCAAGTCCCAAAGAAACTGTAGCGATTCGGGCAGCATCTGCTTCCCGCCGTCGGGGTCTGAGGTATCGGTCGTTCAGAGTCTCTAAGGCCCACACCGCGCGTTACCGGCAGTCGGTACCGGAGGGCGGCAGGAAAGGCGGGCTGGGCAGCTCTTTGAAGAACTGCCGGAGGCCAGCCAGGTCCCGCGTGAGCTGCTCCACGCGCTGATGCAGCTTCTCGTTCTCGGCGGACAACTCCACGAGCTTCTGCTGCATCTCCTGGTTGCGGCGCTTGGCCTTGTCGCGGCTCTTTCTCACGGCGATGTTGTTGCGCTCGCGCCGCTGCCGGTACTCCGGGCTGCCGCGGTCCGGACCCCTCTTGCTCGCGCCCTTCTCTCGGACAGGGCGGGGCGGGAGGCTCGGGCCCGGGCTGCCTCGAGGAGGCTCGGGCGAAGTGGGTGGTGTGGGCTGAGCCGAGGCCGCCAAGCTCACCACTGTCTGCGCGCACATCGCCACTTGCGCCGGCAGCAGGGAGCCCGGCGCGTCGCCGTCGCCCCAGTCGGGTTCGCGCTTGAGCGGGCCCCTGGCGACTGACCCCACACCCGGGGGTCGCGTAGGGCCGCCCTGCAGCAGCTCCAGGCCGCCCGCGCCGGCCGCTTTGTGGTTGCTGTTGAAGAGGTCCGCGAAGAGCTCGTCGTGGCACAGCTCTAGGGTGGGCACGGCGGCCATGGAGTCAATGTAGGCGCTGAAGTCGATGGCGCTCTCGTCGTCGTACATGGCAGGGGTCGTGGAGCCCGGCTCCCCCAGATCCCCTGGCTCGGGCCCTCGGCCGGGCTTCCCCAACCTGCCTGGCTCGTAGAAGGCAGCGGGCTCTGTGGGCCAGGGTGCACCGCGCGCCGGTCTATCCAGGCTGAAAAGCGCGGCGCTCATGGCGGCCTGGCTTCCAAGTTGGGCTGTCACTTCTCCGAGCCGGACCGCCGCCTTTTCTAGCTCCAGCTGACGCGCATGCCCCGCCCCGGCCCCAGCGGGTCCGGGACCCGGGCAGGGAGGGACCGGGGTGCTGCTGGGAACGACCCGCCCTCTGCCCGCACTCCTGGCCTTCCCTCCTTCCTGTTTGTGCAGTTTGGACCTACTTAGCGGTCCGAGGCTGAAGCGAAATGAAAATCTGGATTTGGCCCCGACACGCGCAAAGCAGGACGCCTTCAGTCATCGCAGAAGCGCAACTGGGAGCGGGGCTCCGCAGCCCGAGCCCGTGGCTTCCGTCCTGGCGCCTCCGCCACTGGGCCAGAAGGACTGAACGGTGGTTCGCGGCCCGGGCCTCAGCCTCCGCCGGTCCAGAGTGAGCGCAGCCAGCCGGAGTCTCCGGAAATTGGAAGTCGCTCCAGCCACACTTCTCTGGGTGCAGAGGCCCAGTTCCTATCGAGGTTAGGTTCAACAACACAGCCTGATGGACGGACAGATCGACCGAGCTCCCCGGTGACCACAAAGCCCACGGAAGAGTGACGGCCACCCTAACCGCAGTGCGTTTATCCGCACCTGACAGCGATATCATTTCTTCCAGGTTATTAAAGCTGTGCCACCTGGCGGTAGCACATCATGCTGTTTCTTTTCCTTGCTAATTGTACCCCAAAAAGATGCTATTCTAAAGTAATTGTGGCTTGCTGAGAGAAAGCTAAGATTTACGTCAGTACTCATAAAGAACTGTTAAGTTGCCAGCTCTTCAAAATTCATGAAAAGGTGAAGAGAAATTTCAACCCCAGCTACTCAGACCTGAGACTGGATGGGTAATTAAACCCCACGAGTTCAAGTACCTGACGGCCTGTCCCAAACAAGCAAAAGTCAAGAAAATCACCTGTTCAAAATCAGATATGTACCATATTAGAATGTCTCCAGATCCAGTGCCCCAGTCTCATCCTCAGCACGGTAGTAGAACACCTGCTGCTGTCTCCTTTTCCTCTGTGACCTCATCTTTAATGGATCACAAAGATATTCTCCTTCAAATTTCCCTCAACTTATCCCATTATCCCTGTTTCCAACACCAGCAAGCATTCCCTCTAAATACAGATGTTGGACAGGCCAGGGAATCAAGCAAGCTAACTGAAGACTTTCACCATTTCCTCCTCTTCTCCAAACTCAGTGCCCTAGCCCCATCCCTATCTCTAACAGAACACCTGGGGCAGCCTTCCCTCCTCCCCTACCCATACCTCCTGTGGATCCCACAGACCTCCTCCTCCTCCCCTTCCTTACCTCCCTCCCTCCACACACTGCTTTATCTCAGCACCCAACTCTAGCATATATTCCATGCTAACCCACAAGCCACTTCTGCCAGGGAAGCAGGTAAACTGACTACAGATCTTCACCTCTCCTGTTTCTCCTGATCCAATCCCGCAGTTTCATATCTGGCTCTCCAGCAGACCTTCTGAGGTGATCTCCTTTCACTCTCGGCCCCCATTTAAGGAAACATTGGCAAAACACTCTGCTTTCTTCCCTCCTGTGGACCCCCTCAAGCCTCAAACCATCCCCATCCCTAAGTGTCAGCTCCCAATACCCACAGACACATTTTACCTGCAACCACCAGTGGCCACATCTCTTGGATCCACACAAAATCTACAGACACCACACTCAAAAAAAAAAAAAAAACCCAAGGAACCCAACACCCCCTCTGAGGAAAAACAAAATCTCATCACCTAGAACTGTAAGCTTCCTAATGCCAGAGGCCTAGATGCCACCATGAAAATGTCTCGATCAGGGCACAGCAAACCTAATACAGTGGATGCTGAATATCCCAACATTCACAAGAAGCAAAAGAAAAAGACCTTTAAAAAACAGCCTTTGTGAATATTATAGAGCTCCTTAGAAAAAGAAATGGATAGCCTTTTGGTCTGAGCCAGTGCCCTGAGCAGACGTTGGGCGGTAGCTCGAAGCCCAGCCCCACGACTCCCAGATGCTCTGACGCACCCAGAATCACAGGATCTCGAAAGCTTGGTCACACCAGAATTTCAGGATCCCAGAGGCAGCTTGACTCCCAGGAGCTCTGACATACTCAGGATTTCAGCATCACAGAATCACAGAGACAGCTGGACTCTGAGGAGTTCTGACACAACCAGGATCATAGGAGGGACAAGTTTCAGTCAGACAGCAAGGGCAAATAGCACTAGAGATAACCAGATGGTGAAAGGCAAGCACATAAGCAACAGAAACCAAGGTTACTTGGCATCATCAGAACCCAGTTCTCCCACCATAGCAAGTCCTGGACACCCCATGACACCGGAAAAGCAAGATTCTGATTTAAAATCACTTCTCATAATGGTGATAGAGGACTTCAAGAAGGTCATAAATAGCGCCATTAAAGAGATACAGGACAACATGGGTACAAGGTAAACAGGTAGACAACTTCAAAGAGGAAACACAAAAATCCCTTAAGGAATTACAGGATAACACAAACAGGTGAAGGAATGGAACAAAACCATCCAAGCATCTAAAAATGGAAGTAGAAACAATAAAGAAATCACAAAGGTAGACTACACTGGAGATAGAAAACCTAGGAAAGAGATCAGGAGTCATAGATGCAAGTATCACCAACAGAATACAAGAGATAGAAGAGAGAATCTCAGGTGCAGAAGACACTATAGAAAACATTGGCACAACAGTAAAAGAAAATGCAAAAAGCACCTAACCCAAAACATCCAGGAAATCCAGGACACAATGAGAAGACCAAACCTAAGGATATAGATATAGAAGACAGCAAAGATTCCCAACTTAAAGGCCCAGTAAATATCTTCAGCAAAATTATAGAAGAAAACGTTCTTAACCTAAAGAAAAAGATGCCCATAAACATACAAGAAGCCTACAGAACTCCAAATAGACTAGACCAGAAAAGAAATTCCTCCTGTCACATAATAATCAAAACGCCAAATCCACAAAACAAAGAATATTAAAAGCAGTAAAGGAAAAAGGTCAAGTAGCATAGAAAGGCTGACCTATCAGAATTACACCAGACTTCTCACCATAGACTGTAAAACCCAGAAGACCTTAGGCAGAGGTCCTACAGACCCTAAGAGAACACAAATGCCAGTTCAGGCTACCAAACCCAGCAAAACTCCCAATTACCATAGATAGAAAAATCAAGATACTCCTTGAGAAAACCAAATTTACACAGTATCTGTTCACAAATCCAGGCCTACAAAGGATAATAGATGGAAAACTCCAACACAAGGAGGGAAACTACACTCTAAAAAAAGTAAGAAAGTAATCGTCTTTCAACAAACCCAAAAGAAGATAGCCACACAAACATAATTCCACCTCTAACAACAAAAATAACAAGAAGCAACAATCACTTTTCCTTAATATCTCTTAACAACAATGGACTCCATTACCCAATAAAAAGACATAGACTATGATAAGAACTTCAAGTCCCTGAAGAAAGAAATAGAAGCAGATCTCAGAAGATGGAAAGATCTCCCATGCTCATGGATTGGCAGGATTAATATAATAAAAATGGCCATCTTGCCAAAAGCAATCTACAGATTCAATGCAATCCCCATTAAAATCCCAACTCAATTCTTCACAGAGTTAGAAAAGGAAATTCTCAAATTCATATGGAAAAACAAAAAACCCAGGATAGCGAAAACTATTCTCAACAAGAACTTCTGGAGGAATCACCATCCCTGACCTCAAGCTGTATTACAGAGCAATAGTGATTTAAAAAAAAACTATATGGTATTGGTACATAGACAGGTAGGAAGATCAATGGAATAGAACTGAAGACCCAGAAATCAACCCATACACCTATATGGTCACTTGATCTTTGACAAGAGTGCTAAAAACCATCCAGTGGAAAAAGACAGCATTTTCAACAAATGGTGCTGGTTCAACTGGAGGACAACTTGTAGAAGAATGCAAATCAATGCATTCTTATCTCCTTATACAAAGCTCAATTCCAAGTGGATCAAGGACCTCCACATAAAACCAGATACACTGAAACTAATAGAAGAAAAGGTGGGGAAGAGCCTCAAACACATGGTCACAGGGGAAATTTTCCTGAACACCTATGGCTTATGCTCTAAGATCAACAATAGGCAAATGGGACCTCATAAAATTACAAAGCTTCTGTAAGGCAAAGGACACTGTCAATAGAACAAAACAGTAGGACAACCAACAGATTTGCAAAAGATCTTTACCAATCCTACATCTGATAGAGGGCTAATATCTAATATATACAAAGAACTCAAGAAGTTAGAATCCAGAGAATCAAATAGTCCTATTAAAAATGAGGTACAGAGCTAAACCAAGAATTCTCAACTGAGGAATATTAAATGGCCGAGAAGCACTTAAAGAAATGTTCAACATCCTTAGTCATCAGGGAAATGCAAATCAAAACAACCCTGAGATTCCACCTCACACCAGTCAGAATGGCTAAGATAAAAAACTCAGGTGATAGCAAGTGCTGGTGAGGATGGGGAGAAAGAGGAACACGCCTCCATTGGTGGGATTGCAAGCTGGTACAACCACTATGGAAAGCAATCTGATGGTTCCTCGGAAAAATGGACATACCTGAGGACCCAGCTATAACAAACACTCCTGGGCATAAACCTAAAAGATTCTCCAATGTATAACAAGGACACATGCTCCACTATGTTCATAGCTGCCTTATTTATAATAACCAGAAGCTGGAAAGAACCCAGATGTCCTTCAACAGAGGAATTGATACAGAAAATGTGGTACATTTACACAATGGAGTACTTTTCTGCTATTAAAAACAATGAATTCATGAAATTCTTAGACAAATGGATGGAACTAGAAAATATCATCCTGAGTGAGGTAACCCAATCACAAAAGAAAACACATAGTATGCACTTACTGATAAGTGGATATTAGTCCAAAAGCTTGGAATATCCAAGATACAATTCACAGACCACATGAAGCTCAAGAAGAAGGAAGACCAAAGTGTGG